TATTATTCAATGGAAAAATTAAAATTGTTATATTTATGGTATACAACATGATGTTTTAAAATGTGTATACATTGTGGAATGGCTAAATAAACTTAAATAACATATGTATTACCTCACATACTTTTTTTTTTGTGGTGAGAGCACTTAAAATTTATTCTGTTAGCAATTTTCAAGTACGTAATACATTTGTTACTATCTTCACTATGTTGTATGATAGAGCTCTTATTATTCCCGCATGCCATCTTTGAGAGGCATTGTACTGAAGTACTCTTTTGTAAGAAAACCTATACAAACAGTTGGCCTTGTAATTTAGTGTCCAAACCCAGACATTTTGGGAGTAAAAGATGGTGCTATTGGGAAGTACCCCTGAACAACAGGTGCAAATTAAGACTATGCCAGGCAAACCAAGTATATATAGTCAGCTTATATACAGATAATAGGTACATGAGCAGGGTAGTACTGTGCTCTCCTTCCCCCCAAAATATGTAGAAATGGACATCTCTTCCAGAAGAATATTTGTGCAATTGGAAATTATAATTTTAAATTGCAATTTTAAATCTAGATTAACAACAGAGGTTCCCTTTCTGTTTATACTTCCATCTCATGTACATTTAGTCAATGGGGGTCCATTCTTGAAAGTAAAGTGATTGCACTGGGAATTGAAAAGAAAAAAAATGACATTAACAAAGGAAAATAGACTGGTCTGAACATGCCTATGGAGATGTCATAAAACCATCTTAAATCTGTTAGAAAAAAAATCTAAGTTAGGGGTTGGCAACCTTATTCTGTAAAGGGTCATATAGTAAGTGTCTTTGGCTTTGTGGACCACATGGTCTCTGTTGCCACTACTTTGCCATTGCAGTGTGAAAGCAGCCATAGCTGTTATATAAACAAAGGGGCATGGCAGTGTCCTAATAAAATTTTATTTACCAAAATAGGTAGGGGCAGGGGGATAGATTCGGTGTATGGGCTGTCATTTATCCACCCCTGTTCTAGTTAGTCTGTTTTAATATCTAGAAACTTTGTTCTTGTAGAAGAAAAGTTATTTTAGTTATTAATTGTGACGTCCCCTATCCTGCTATGACTAATGGGGCCAATGAAGAAATGCAATGGGCTTTACTATTTAATATAAATTTTTGTTTATGCATGTTGCAGTGATCCAAGGCACCTATTGTGGTAGGTGGTGGAGGATAAACAGCCAGGGACACTCTGGTTAGGGAATGGCAGTTGTGTGGGTTTCACAGGCATTTTAGAAGGAAGGCTGTAGGGATGCAGAACTGGGGAATAGAGGCTATGGCAATTTGGCTTTTTCTATACATGGTTAAAAAAAAAGTCCTAGATTAGATTGTCCCATGGGAGAGAGAACAAAACTGCAAGCGCCTGAGGAAAATGAAGTCTTGGGTCTGCGCCCATACTTGGAAAAAATTGACTCAAAATTAAGGTGATATAAAGAATCACTTTAAACTAGTTTAGAACTTACAGCATAGAATTGGAATCAGTTGGTTAAGATAAAAGTTTTAGGAGAAAATCCCAAAAT